CTAGCATACATCTAGGAGAGTTGGAATTATCCAACATACATCTAGAACATCTCTTTTTCCCTCTCTTCCATTAAACTCAACCACTCTTCCTACTTCCCTTCACCATTTCATTTGCAACTTATCTCCTCCCAAACATTCAAGAAATCCCTCATATTTCCTCCAAAAATTCATAGATGGTGTGTGTGTTTTCAAGAAGTCCTCTTCAAGCCTTCATAACTTGGTAATTTCTTGTCTAACTCAAGAGATTTTACTTCATGTTTATGCTTAGAACTTTCAATTTACACACTTTGTTGTGCGTCAAACTCCTTAGAACACCCATATTTTCGAGATCTCTTCAAGGCACAAGCTAGGTTCAAAGTTTCATCTTCTTCTTCATCTACATCTCAAAACCCTCAAGGTGAGCTTCATACCCCCATATATTTCGTGTTTTTCATGTTTTCGAGGGGAGGATACAAGTCGACTCTCGTTTAACCGTTGGATATTTGCATGCACCATTGTGTTATGTGTTTAACTTTTGAGTTTTTATCACTTATATCTTCATAAAAACCATGAGAAAAGTATGTGTTATCATATATATTACATGTAAAGTTGTAGATTTGGGATTATACACTCAAAATAGCAAAAATAAGTGTTGTGTTCAAACATGTATAACTTAAACTCAAAACTCAGCTTTTAGCAGAAAATTTTTGGTCTAATTACGGACTGTTTTGACCACCTTGATTGTAATGTTTTTCAAAACTATTTTACATGCAAAAATCTCAGGTTTATACCTTTAAAATGAATACTCTCACGCATTCATATGATTTTTCTACAATTTTGGCGATTTTTACAAAACTGCATATCATTTCAGGAATGATTTCGGACCAGTCTGTGAAGATGAACATTTTCACACTGGTTTGAGGCCATTAAAAATTATAATAAAAATTATGAACAAAGTAGACTCGTTTTGAAAACTCTCAGATTTTACGGATCCTAATTTTGATTTACGCTGATTTTTCTATAATTTTTCTAAAAACAGGGACAAAAATGTCAAAAACAAGAAATTGTTTTTATCATGATAAAAGCTCTTATACTTGTGTTAGATGCAAGTTTATATGACTTCTACATACCTTTAAAACATCTAGACATGTTAAATTATATATGTGTGTGTGTGTGTATATATATATATATATGTATATATATATATATATATGATTATATAATGTGTCTTGACAAACAAACGTAATAAACTTTATTTAGTATAGTTGAAGGTCGCAAACCACACTTTTAAAGGATACACAATTATTTATCGGCATAATTATCTTATTTGCAAGTAAAACAAAGTCATAGTTCACTAAATCTATTAAGGCTCTTGTGAGACATTGCGTTTGACACATATCGAGTGTACAACCGTAGCCTGAAGTTATAACTAGAGTCTCCTGGAGTGAGAGCTAGAGTTTATGTATAGATCCATACGGGGTTGACACCCCACACCTAAGTTGTTCGCTACAATTAGACTAGGCCAGTCTAAGGTGACAAACATTACCTTAAACAAGTTGACGCCTGAAAAACGTCATGACAGATGGATTAGTCATTATCAAGTATGGTTATAGCGACTCACATAGGGAATAACAATACGATTTTGGTTTACAGGAAGCTTACACTTCATCCGTTTTATTAAGCTATAGAACTGCAAATAATTTTCCAAGTATTCGATTTCTTACACTTCCGGTCTTAGGGTTTAAGACTACAGTTTTTCTTTACATCAGAAAATATCGGTTTTCTGGGAACATTCGCTTTACTTTTATAAAAAAAATATAATAGAGGACATGCATGCATATATTCACAGTTTTGGAACGAGACTTATTAAACATTTTCATAGAAAATATCAGATTTTCTGGAAGAACTACGGGAACTATTCTAAACAAGTGCAAAACCATTTTTTATACAAAAATGATTATGAACTCACCAGCTTTTTAGTTGACGCTTTTCAAAGTGACTTATATTCTCAGGAAACCAGTAACAGGTAATCAACTCTACTATGAGATCAAGTGGTGCGACTTCAAGAAATTTTACTTCTTATTTTTGTGTAATCGTTAAACAAGCACAATTTGTAAAACAATGAATGTTGGTATATTGCAATATATGATGTTTGGTTGCTATGTTTCATTCATTTTCAATTGTTATGATACTGTATATGAAGTCATCCGCCCCCGGACGTTTCCGCCGTCCCGGTTCGAGGGTGTGACATTGTTAAATAGAAAATTTATAGAAATTGTCCCTTTATTTTAGAAAAGTGCATAAATGGTTCTTAAGATTCAAAAAATTATAGAAATTGTACATATGTTTCACAACATTATAGAGAAATAGGGATGCATAGTTAGTACCAAATTCTTATCTTGTACCGGTACCATATCGTAACCACTACCTAATTCAAACATATGGGACAATACTCGATACTCTTGTTATCGGATTGATGCTAGTACCGAAAATCGGTACCGGTATCGGTAATGTTAGTTCAGTTTGTACACAATATTGTTTCTTCCACCCATTATGGTATTCAAGACTCTTGGTTTGGTATCGGTTCCGTCTCATGTTCATCCCTATAGAGAAATAGTCCCTGTCTAATAGGGAAATAACCAAAATGGTCCATAAAAGTACAAAATAGGTCCTTGTCTATTAGTGAATTTACCAATATAGCCCACGTGTTTCAAAGCAAATTACCGAAATGGACCCAACGTAAGAAATCATTACAAATATTATGTATAAAATACGTGATTAATTCGCGAACCATCCCATTAGTTATAATAGGGTAAGTTACATGAATCGTCCCTCGTGCAGGTTCCAAAAGACATGTTGAGTTCCTATTTAAAAAAAATTAACTCGGACCATCTTTTGTTTGTAAAAAAACTTGCACACTCCATCCCTCCTGACATAAAAAGAATATTTTGCCTTAATAAATTCTTTTTATTTTTCTTTTATCTATCTATATATATATATATATATATATATATATATATATATATATATATATATATATATATATATATATATCCACAAACTCACCCCTCTCCCTTCCCTTTCTCCAGTTTTCTTTCGTCTCCCTTTTTCTCACCTATTCCCAATAACCACCGAAAACCCTAACTCTATGGCGAGACCAAATAATCCAAAATAAGAAAATCATTCGGTCGTGTGCATGTTTATCCCTGCAACAAGTCTCAACACAAATGTCTTATTCTTCTCCCTTTAATAGATCACCATATGTGTTTCCTTCTTCTTGTTCTTGCTTCAATTGACAACCACCAACAAGAAAATAATTGCAGCCTCTCCTTTGTTTCATTCTTTAATCGAGTAATCACCAACATGTCTCGCTCTCAATCATACACACCCCTCACATTCCCGTTTCTGGTTCGCTATAGATCAAGAATGAAACACCCATATCTAACCCATCTCTAATTTATTCGTTGTTTATCTCAGTGAAGTGAAGAAGACAACGGTTTCGAGGTTAGGGGGTAAGAAATTAATGAACATGGGATTTTCTTTTTCATTTTTTTGTTTGTGTGATCATTGATTTGTATAAATGTGTTGACTAGGTGGGCGATGGTTAAAGTTGTGGTTGGAGGTGATTACAAGAAAATGTGTTGATGATAGGTATGTGTAGGTGTTGATGAGGGTCGTTGGTGGATGGGTATAAGGGCGGTTAAGGTGGTAATGAATTATGGGTGAAGATGAAGGTCTCCGTTTTTTTATGGTTTAGAGATGGAGAATGGTGGTTTTGCTATAGGTTTTGGGAGATGGCTTTAGTGATGTCAGTGGTTGTGTGATATTTTTTATGGATGAAGGATGACTTGGGGGAAATAAGGGTTTGTGTTGGTTTATGGTGGAATGGTGATGGTGTAAGGTGGAGATGGAATGGTTCGTTGTTGGTTAAAGGACCACTGGGATGAACAACGAATGAATAATGGGTTGTCGATGGTGTTTCTGAGAGAAAGATAGGTGGTGGTTAATGGTTGTCGACGGTGTTGATGGTCCTATGTCAAAGAATTTAGTGGGAAAAAAAGTTTAGAAGAGAAGGGTTAGGATAAGATGGGTGGGTGAGGTTATTTTATTTTATTTTGTATGTTGTGAATGATTGTAAGAAAAATAAAATAAATAAATAAAAAGAACAAAAATGATAGAATCGTTATTTCATATATTCCAAGTAGGACTGTAAAGTGTAAATGAACCGAACGAACACAAATAAGGGTTTGTTCATGCTCGTTCATTAACAAATGAACGAACACCAACGAATAAACGAACAAGTTTTTTTGTTCATGTTCGTTCATTTAAAAAATTACTTTATAATCAAACACAATTGAACATATATGAACATAAAAGAAACTTAAATGAATGAACGTAAACGAACAACATAAACGAACGTTCACGGACATAATTGAACAAACGAGAAATTATGTTCATGTTCATTCATTTATTAAATAAACGAGCATAAACGAATTTTCCACCAAATGGTTCACGAACAGTTCGCCGAACGTTTAGTTCGTTTACAGCCCTACTTGCAAGGGATAAAACATGTAAATTTAAACTAACAAGGGTTGATATTTGCAACTTTTAACCAAACGAAGATGGTCCGAGTTAATTTTAAAAAATGTGAGACTGAACGTGTTTTTTTATCACTCGCACGATGGACGATTCATGTTATGTACTCTTAATAATATAACTCTAGATAAAAGAATATAGATAAACCGTGGGAAATGACTAAATATAAAAGAACAAAAATGTAGAATTGTCAATTTTAAATATTTATCATCCTATTTCTTACACTTTAATGATTTAGTAATTTCAACTCGCAACAAAATGAAACAAACAAAAACCAAACTGGATGTAAATTTCAATATTTCATTAAACCTTAAAAGCCAAAACGCTTTTAGTTAATTTAGTCGATTAAATATAATTGCAAAAATGAAATTACTAATATAGTAATACGTCATAATGTAATTATTTGAAGCACATCCAAACTGAAAGTAGTGGTTACGTGTTTCCGTTTGATCATGCAGCATAATACTCGGACACCCTTATATTTGTATATATCAAAATATGCCTTTGTCCAAAGAGCCCCTTCATGATTTTCACACACATACACTCGCTGCTTCGCTCTATTTATCATTCAGTCGATCATTGATAGGAAGGAAGTGCATCATCACTAATGGCGGAGAAGTCTTTCAAATACATCATCGTCGGCGGTGGTGTATCAGCTGTGAGTATTAATCCATCTAAGATCATTTCCCTTTCTGTTTTATTCATTTACAATGATATGGCTCCTCAATTGCACGTAATGTTACGATTATAGCATTTTCTGATTGAGTGATTTCCAGAGTTGTTTATCAGATTGTATAGGCGAACATAACATTGATCTTAATTTTTGACATTTCCAAATCGTAATGTTGTTTATGTGATCGAATTGCTATCTCGGTTCAATACGATCATAGATATACGTTATGTGTGTTTAATACATATTCAACTGTTCCTTGATTGTTTTGTTTGATTAATGATTATACAATTGCATCGATCCAAAATCAGATAAAATCTCACTTTAGGGCTCACACGACATCTTCGTTTTCCCAACGAATACACTCTCCTAGTGATCTGATGACCTTCAAATGTAATAACATTGGCGTTAATCGTTCAACAATATCATACGTTTTCAATTTCAAGCTCTCGTTAATACAAATCAATAACTAATTGTATTGATTTAGTTCAAAATTGTTTGGCATACGTACAGGGCTATGCTGCCAGAGAGTTTGAAAAGCAAGGAGTAAAGCCTAACGAACTAGCTATCATCTCTAAAGAGGGGGTATGCTTTTCTATTTGTCCAACTCTTTTACTCATATAGTTGCTTGAGTTACAAGCTAAATGTCGTTTTATCACTTTCTAATCAAATTTAACTAACCAAATTAGCTATATTGAACTATTTATACTCTGATTCTAAGTTGCTAACCTACACACTTCAATTTTCTAGGTGGCTCCTTATGAACGCCCTGCATTGAGCAAGGGATATCTGTTCCCAGAAGGTAACCTATTTGGCAAATTTCCAGTTACTTTCTGTGTTAATCATGAATTTGATTTTTTTTTTTTTTTTGTTATGAAATAATAAGTTTTTGTTACTTTCTTATCATATTATATTCTTCAGGAACTGCAAGGCTTCCAGGGTTTCATGTCTGTGTTGGTAGTGGAGGAGAAAGACTCGCACCTGAGTGGTATAAAGAAAAGGGCATAACTTTGATCCTTAGCACAGAGATAATCAAAGCAGATCTACCTTCAAAAACTCTCAAAAGTGCAGCTGGTGACACCTTTAAATATGAAGTTTTGATCATCGCAACTGGCTCCACAGTAACCTCTGAAATCCTTTTGTTACTATCAAATGTAATAAAAAGATTGTCTTTACATTTATACAAGTTTCTTGTTAGGTTTTCAGACTGGAGAACTTTGGTATACAAGGAGCTGATGCCAAGAACATCTTTTACTTGAGAGAAATTGCAGATGCTGATAAACTTGTGGAAGCAATTAAAAGTAAGAAAAATGGAAAAGCTCTTGTTGTTGGTGGAGGATACATTGGGCTTGAGCTTAGCGCAGCTTTAAAAATAAACAACTTTGATGTTAGCATGGTCTACCCCGATCCATGGTGTAGTAAGTTGAAATGCCATTCTTTCTAGAATAATTTTACATCTTTCTAATAATTGGAAACCACATGCAAAGATATACATTTTATTGATAATGACAATTGACAAATGTAATCATTTACAGTGCCTCGTTTATTCACTGCTGACCTGGCGGCTTTCTATGAGGCGTATTATACGAAAAAGGGAGTGAATATCATCAAAGGAACAGCTGCTGCTGGATTTGTAAGTAACGAAAAAGGAGAAGTAAAAGAAGTGAAACTAAAAAATGATCAGGTAATGGAAGCAGATATTGTGGTTGTTGGTGTTGGAGCAAAGCCTCTAATTAATCTATTCACAGGACAACTCGAAGAGGATAAAGGTGGAATCAAGGTATGTTTTTTTTTTCTTTTTATGAAAGTCAAACTATAGTCAATATCACTATATATATATATAAGGCATAAAGCCATATTCTTTGTTTTACAGACTAATGCATTCTTCAAAACTAGTGTTGATAATGTATACGCGATAGGTGATGTTGCTACTTTTCCCATGAAAATGTATGGAGACATAAGAAGAGTTGAACATGTTGACCATTCCCGCAAATCCGCAGAACAAGCTGTTAAGGTAATAATTAATACTTTAATTACATTTTGTTTGTATCAATTGACACGTCAGCAACACTAATATTATTACATTTTGTCATTTTGTTTGTATCAATTCTTAGGCTATTTTTGCAAAGGAGCAAGGAAAGGAGATTGGGGCGTATGAGTATTTACCATATTTCTACTCGCGTGCGTTTGATCTATCATGGCAGTTTTTTGGAGACAACGTTGGTGAGGCTGTTATTTATGGTAACCGTGATCCGGCTTCTGAGAAACCTAAGTTTGGAACATACTGGATTAAGGATAGTAAAGTGGTGGGCGCGTTTCTAGAAGGTGGTACCCCAGAAGAGAATAAAGCAATTAGTAACATTGCAAAAAAGCAACCTACAGCCCCTACTCCCGACTCACTTGCTACTGAAGGTGTCCAGTTTGCATGTAAGATATGAGATATCATTTTTTTTTATTCATTTAAAATAAATAACATTACAATACTATTCTATCATTAGACTTAGACTCTAGTAGTCTAGATAGTAGATAAAGATAAATCATGTAACGTTTTTCTTTTTTCCTTTTTATTTCCCAATAAATTAATTTCTTGAAAACGTAAAATTCCCGCAGCGCCCCCGTAGCACAGCCATCTCTCGCTACCTTTGTTCATGTTCCATCTAACACGATGCATTGCAACGATTTTGGGAGGAAGTGTTTCTCTCTCATCATCCTCTTTGTGGGCCATGTGGTCTTTTACATTGTTGGCCACGTCATCAATGCATACTAAAGCTTGGCTACTTTTGTTTTTGTTTTTTGGATTTTCCTTTGAGATATACTCTTTGGCTCTCTTTTCTTGATTCATTATTGATACAAACCCACGTTTTGATCTCGGTGTATCCCCCCATTCGCTTGATGATTTCTTCATTGGGAATGGGATGTTTGGTGAAGGGGTCAACACAGTGAGTGTTGACTTTTCTTCTTCCTTGGTTACAGAACCACAGAGATAATGAGGCTCTCGGTTTCTGTTAGGGTCTCTCTCCACTGATTTTGTTGTAAGCTGATCATGTATAAGTAAAGTTAGTGTCATTTTAGGATTTACCAAAACGTATTTTCGTCTATTTATTTAATATTATATAATATATTATATACACACCTGAAAATGAATAACTTTGCCATCTGAACAGCAATATGCAACCATGTCTGTTAGTCTTGAGACATGAACACACCAAATTGAAGATGATGAACAGTAATAGCTGTGTGATCCATGGTGTTGAGTTTTTACAGTGGGTGTAGCAGTAACAGGGGTGTCAGATACAGCTTTTGATAAGTTAATTATCTTTATTTCTCCATCATCCGATGATAAAACAACACATCTACAAATAATGATAAACATAAAGTGTAATTTAAAAAAGAAAATGAAAAATAGAAAGCGTGATTAATATGATTGTGATGGATACCTTGGGTCTGGATGCCAATCCAAACTGTATGTAATCTTCTGAAGAGGTATATCCCAAAGAGGGTGATATGGATCACTGAAAATAAAAAAAATAAAAAAAATTAAACATTATTATATATAATATAATATTGAAAATTTGCATTGAAGATTTTGAATATACTTACCGAATGTCCCAAAATCTAACACCTTTATGACCGGAAGTAGCGATTATGTTTGCACTCTCGGGATCACTACAGATATTAACAACAGTTTTAATGAAAAATTATTTATACACTAACTTCTTGCATTTTTTTTAAAAATAAAAATAACATGATTATACAGTTTATATTGACCTGGGTAGTGGTGCCCATTTAAGTGCTCTTATAGGAACAGTATCTGCACTGAAGCAAAGCAATGGTTTGGTATCTGTAAACAAAAAACATAAAACTGTTAAAAAAAAAAAAGAATATGCTAGATTTTAGTAAATAGAAAGTGAAAATATAACAAAGTACCTATGGATGAATCATTAGTAGAGAACTTCCATAAGGCAACCTGAACATATAGAGAATGGTATGAAATTATGAATTATACTTTGAATAAAAAATGAGATTATAAATATATAAAAATTGAGGAGCAAAAAAATGTAGGGTGAATGTTGAATTTGGATTTACCACTCCATCATGACAACCAGCTAGAATGAGATCATGAGGGGCAGATGTTGACCACTCCAATGTTAAGGGAATACTGTATAAGAAAAAGAGAACAAAATATTTACATTTTTTTTTTATTACCAATAATACAACTAACTTTACTCTCATTAATAGGTATTAGGTATTAACCTTTGTCTATCTCCACACTTCAACTTTGAACACATGAAAACTGGCTTCAACTTAAGGAAGCGAGGATCAGTGCCTTCCTTTTGACAAGAAGAAAATAAAGCCTTAGTTGCACTAAGAACAGGTACCTCCCACCTATAATACCAAAAGCATCAAAAAATTTATAAAACTTATAATAACATATTAATTAATTAATATATAAAAATAAATCATACACTTCAAGAGCTCCATTCCCAAGCAAAACAGCAAGGTACCCCATTCTGTAACTAGAAATATCATGAGAATCAGGTCTCCATTTCACATCCCATGCCACTTTTCCATTGTGAGCCAATCCCATCACAAGTCTAGGCAAAGCAATATCTTTAGAAACCGAGTTACTATTTGGAACACTTCCAGGGGTATGATGATGATGATGATTCTCAATAGCAAGCAACTTTGGTGGCTGTTGAGGGGAAGTTTCAGGGGTATTTTTGTCAATATCAACCAACTTTTTTGAGTGTTGAGGGAATTCAATAGCAAGAGGCTGTGGATATGAGTTTGTATTAGAAACAGGAACAGTTTCAGAATCAGAAGCTTTCTTTCTTGGTCTCCCTCTTGGCTTCTTTGGTTGATTGGTTTCAAGATTTGTTTCTTCAATCCTTTTTGGTTTGACTTTGACCAAAGGAATCATATCTTGTTCTTTTGTATACGCATTCAACAAACACCATATCTGAATGAGACCTCTTCCAGTAAGTGGAGCACCAATTTTATGATATGAAGACTCTGGTGGATGAGCAGCAACAGCAATAAACTAGAATACAATTTTAATTTTAACAAAAGAATAAATAAGATTATGTTTATTTATTCTAAAACATAATAAATGATCAACAATAAGTACCTCTACGTTAATGTCAGTGTTGGAATTTTGATGAAGTATGGGACACCAATCTAAAGCCCAAACATGGCCTCCAACATACATCACAAAATCTTTGTTTCCATCTGAAGTGTCCTGTATTAATGTCAAGATTTTAAGCTCTAGTAAAATAGATACTTTAAAAATGAAACTTTTATGTTATATGTACTTTAGGAACAAGTGCTGAAGAAAACTGAGGCAAGTTGATTTGAGGTGTGATGTTTTTCTCATGGCTTTCACAAGCAAACTTAATAGCTCGAGGTTGATAGCAAAAATTCCTCCATTCTCTGTAGATTAAAAGATATATTGTTTGGTAAAAAAAAAAAAAAAATTGACAATATCACTTTGCTAATACTTAAACTTTTAATCAGACCTTAAGAAAGTAATGGAAGAAGAGAAGCGTTGAATTTGTGGATACTGGAACTCTGATTCTCCAGAGAGATTAGCAATTTTATCCATGGCTTGAAAGTGATTTTCAACTGAAGAATCGAATTTGGAAACCAAAATTTCTGGATCATCATCATCATTCTCCACAGAAACTACTTGAAGATTATTGGATCTTGGAAACTCCATTTGTAATGATGTGTAAATGCCTATACAGTATACAATATACACATACAAGTTACAAGAATTTCATCTCAATGGATGCATTGTCTTATTACAGTATAACCACCATTCTATCACATTACATAAACACATACAACACGCATAATCACAATTATGCATAATTTGCAATGAGTTCTGAAGAAGCACAGTTATATAAGCTTTCAACAATCTTGCTTAAACTTTCCATTGACAATATGAAATATTGATTATGCTGCTGTTTCTGTTATTCTAACTCTGAATGCTAGCTAAATTTCATCTTCTTCTTCTGTTATCACTCATACAAGTTACAGCCAGTAGATTGTTTATCTAAAAAAGTTCAAAATCCATATAAATTTCCAGAAACAAAGGACAAATAGTGACATGTGATTCCATCTTCTTCTTCTTTTGATATCAAGAGCCTGACTAAAACAAAGGCACCATAATAGACTCTGGAGTGATTCCACTACTAATCCAAATCCTCAGCTGTGGAGCCTTTTCAACAAAACATGAACCAAACTAAATTTAAAACACCCCCTGTTTGATTTTCTTTTCGTATGGAAGGAACATTCACAATGCCAATTTCAGCAAAAAAAAAAACGATGTCAATTTCAGGAAAAAAAAACGATGCAAAACTTAGCAATAAAAAGTATTCCAAGGTCGTTCTTCGATTTCAGAAGGTCATTCAAAGGCACATTCTCGTGATCCAAGCAAAAAAAAAAAACGAAGTTAAAAGATCAAGGAACTAACCCGATTAGAATTTTGTATTCAGAAATCCGTTATCATCAGAAACTCGTATTCGTTTAGATTGAAACGAAAGTCCAAAAATTGTGTATTCAATAAACCTAATCAAGTCGGAATCGAAGATAAAACTTGAAAAATCGAACCCTGTGGCCGGAGGTGAAGCGCCGGCATCAGTGTGGAAGAGGAATCGCCGCCGTTGGTGTGGCTGGAGGTTGACTAGTCGGCGTCGGAGGAACTCAGTAGTCAGGAACAATTTTCATTGCCAGGGGTGTTTGGGATTGGTTTTTAGTTAAAAAGTCCATTGCAACATTTTTTACTTATAGTTTTTTTTTTTTTTTTTTTTTTTTTTTTTTTTAATTATTATTATTTTTTTAATAGTAGGTTTTAAAATAAGTTTGGATTAGGTTAAAAAGCCAAAATGCACCAAAATTCATGACTTTTAAAATCATAACTTTTTCTTCTTGTCAAAAAGTTATTCTAAAAGGATTTTTATAATTAACAAACAACTTTTCAAACTTTTAGCTTTTTGAAAACTGAAATCGAAATCTGTAACAATGCATTTAATAGATTGTGAAAACTGAAATCGAAATTAGTTGATTCCCAAATCACAACAAATAGCAAACGAAGGAACTCAGGAGTCGAGAACAATTCATTCAATAGGAAATTAGAAATCAAATGTTTGAGATTAGTGAATCCTAATTCCTAATTCTACTATTCCAACGGTGAAGAGATGAAGACAGAAACCGAGAGAACTGGAGAAGAAAGAAAAAGGAGCATCCAAGCATACCTGATTTTCGGTGACTGGTGGATTGTGGACAGCGACACAACTTGGTGAATGGTTAGGTGCATGCGTCCAGCCACTGAGCGAAGTAACGACGATGGGGGCGAAACTGCCCAAGGTTTCGATTTTGACTTCTACGTTGACTTATCAGGAAGGGCCACAACCTAATTTTGAACATAGCCTGCTTATATTTATAAAATTTGAAGTGATATAGGTTGCTTCTAACCCAAATTTCAGATGGGGTGGGGGGATGCTTACCTTAGTGTACGTTCTTGAGAGTATCGTGATTTTTCAGAGTAAACTGACAAATTACTTTGTAAATAAGTAGTTTAACTCTAGTAAAAGAAAAAGCACTGACTTGAGAGGATAACGTACTTAACCTTTTAGTCACATTTGGTCATTAATTTTTTTTCCATAACTTATTAACCCTTAAACTTGTTGAAATAGGTACATGTTGCCCTTATAACCATTTTAGCAGGTTTCCTAACTTTTTAATTTAAATACATATAAATGAAGTATTAGGTGGAAATGACGTGGTATGCCCCATCATTAAAACTGAAGTCTAAGTTGCATTTGGTCAGTAAACTCAAGTGTCCTTCCATCGCTCTGAAGAATGAGATCATCGTCTCCCAGTGATCGGAACTTCATTGCAGTGTATTTCCACTACATGGGACATTTTCACCAAATCCCTTAGTATACTTTGATCTCGATAGAGCATCCATTCGAGACGTTGACTTCAGTGGGTTTCAATTCGAAAAGTTCATGGATTTCCTTCAGAAGCTCACAAGTTCATACACTAGTCAACGATGGTGACTACAAATAATTTTTGGATATGGCGTATGCTAATGACAAGAGAATGAATGTGTATGTGGACCACCAGAATGAAGTTGCCAACTTGTAACATCTTGTTTTGAGGTACTTTCATTTTTGACCCCTTTCATGGAGATTTATTACATTTTGGTCCTTATAATGTAAGACTTGTGGATGAGAGGGGCTAATATTGCCACTTTTAGAATGTTGGGGCGGAGCCACGTACATTGGGCGTACATTTTGCGTACACTATGCGTATGGGATGAAGTCCCAAACCCTAATATTTAAGGTTTGGACCTTATTTATTCTTCATGAACTCTTAATCTTGGTTCTTTTCATCAGCCTCCATCCTCTCAAAATGTCCTTGTAACTCTAATCCACCTTAATATCATTTTGGAATTTGTGTGTGGGTGTTTTGGTGCCTTGAAGAAGAAGGAAGGAAGTAAAGATCATCTTGGAGGAGTGAAGCACCTTAGATTCAGAACCACTTCAACATTTGGCATCACTTGGAGGTATAAAGTTCTCATCTTGATCACTCTATCTTATAGATCTAGACATTTCCTCCCTTACATTACTTTTTGTCCCAACATGGTGATTCTTGAGCATATCATGTTCTTGACCCATTAAGTTGTCCTTTCAGACCTTAGGAAGGTTCTTAAGTCATAAAAATGTGGTCTTGATGGTTAGTTTTGGTCCATGTATTCTTTAGAAGGTCTTAATGCATTAAGATGTTGTACTTTGGGGTATTGGGCACTTAATGTACATGCAAAGTCATAAAGTTGGAAACTTTATGACTCTTGGGGGTAATTAGCCTTGGATTTGAAGTTTGGACGTGAATGCTTAATGTATCAAGCACTTAATAGGGAAAATGAGATTTTTCACATATGCCATGCATACCTTAGTGTACGTCATGCGTACGTGGTCTACTCCCTCGTTTTCCAGTCAACTTGAGTACGCCCCGCGTACCTATGGGGTACACACAATGTACTCGCCCTAAGTCGACTCGACTGGGTTAACTAGTTGACTTGTTAGTTCTGACCAAGTTTGACCAAGGGTAATTTAGGAAATTATGATTATTTTATTAATGGGAAATGTTGGACATTTAGGACTTGGGTGGAGCCGGTATTCGGGATCAGAGTATTGATCAGTTTTTCGTTAGGTTGTGAGGTGAGTCTTCCTCACTGTACTTATAGGTCGAAGTCACCAATGCCGACATGGTGGATTGGATATCCTGTTATATGATGGCATTTCATTTATGTTGTAGAATCGGTTAGATCGGTATACTGGTACATAGGATGTTAACATGCGGTAGTGATCTGTAAACTTGCATGTTTGTATGATGCCTGGTTATACGGTTATCTATTTTATATATATATATATATATATATATATATATATATATATATATATATATATATATATTATGGTTGGTTGGGTTGAGGCGGTCCTGCTTTGTGTTGAAGGGCCAAGATACAGAAGGCGATTCAGATAGACTGTAGGCCCTGCAAAGCGGTCCAGTCAGGACAAAGGCCCGACGAGCTGTCCGGATAGGCAGTAGGCCCTGCAAGGCGGTTCAGTCATACCGAAGGCTCAGGAGCGGTCCAAATAGGTTGTAGATCTATCGGACGGTCCACTTCAGGTTGAAGGCTCTATTATGCATGTTGTTGTTTAATATGTTGTATGTGGTTGTAATTTGGGGGAACTCACTAAGCTTTGGCTTACGGTTTTAGTTTATTGTTTTAGGTACTTTTGATGATCGCTGGAATGCGAAGGCGTGACCGTACACATCCTTTGTTTTATGACTTTATGATTTTGGGATACTTTGATATTGATAAACAATTTGGAAACAATGATTTTGTAAACATTTTATGACTATGGGTGGTTTTTAAAAGTTTAAATTTGTTGTAATTTTTGAGTCGTCACAAGTTGTATCAGAGCCTTGGTTTGAGCGAATTGGAGGAACACCCATGTGAATCCAATCTCAAACTAAGGAAATACAAAGATTTTAAAAATGATTTTCTAAATTGTTTTCAAAAAAAATAACCAAGAAAGAATGTGATGTGTATGATCAGTCGGAGCCAGTAGGTATACACGAAGTTACCACACAGTTAACTGTTATTATGTTATGTAGAACATCATGCTAGTGATAGGCTAGGGATCTTCAGGAATCGTATGATAGAATTGTCGGATTATATGATGCCTGATATCCTAGGGTTCTTTCTTATATGAAGTTGACATCCTTACTGTAATTGCTTAGTGTATGCATCAAAATTGTACATAACTAAGATTTTATAGTCTGAAAATGTTTGATTTAGCCTTATTTCATGTTCCTTGTTTGGTTGTGGGCTTAGGGTAGAATCAAGTATTCGACTTTCTATAGGATCCAGTGCTATGTACGATTAGCATGCGCGAGTGTTGCAGGGTTCGTTGAAGTTTCATGGATGAGTTATGTGTGGTCAGCCGATCAGTCGAGGAATGCCTAGCCTTTCTCTAGGAAGTGATAATATGGTGTATGTGTATTTTAGTGAGTGTATTTTGGGACGTTGTGATGGTTTTTTAAGAAAAATACAGGTAGGTGTGGAAGGTAGTATACACCAATACTACTGAAAGTGATGGGTTTTGAGCAAAAGAACATTCCTATGTGCACATGCAAAACCCTAAAGCTTTGGATCTAGGTTTCTCTATTGCACATGCAAATTTATCCAAAGCTTGAAAACCCTAATCTAGCATACTATAAAAATCAAAATCTACAACTAATACAAGATTAGATGATTACCTTTTGATAGTAGCAAGAATCTTCAATCTTCAAGAGATTAGTATCATAATTGTAATACCTCTAATGGCTCACAAACACCAAGTCAAGAAAATGATCAAGAAGAGAGAGTATTGAGGCACAATTTCGGCTATAGGAATTCTAGTGTCTCTTCTGGTAGTCGAAAACTGAAGCCCTAGGGGTCCTTAAATAGCTGAGCTGCTAGGGTTTCAGTAAAAAAACCCTAATTAGATAGCTTAGGCCCTAAGCAGCTCCAAGAACCTTCTGGAATAGGGCCCTTGGATGATTTCCAAGTGAGCTTCCACCTTAAAATCGTCCACTCCCTTAATCCATAAGATCCACAACGCAAATTCAATTATCTTATAATTGGCAATTTTGGTCCCCTTTAGTTAATTAATCTCTTTTAGCCACAAAATTAATTCTTAATTAATTATTGACCAATATTAATTAAAAAATTTGATTTCTATTTTAATATATTATTCATATAATATATTAATAAACCATAATATCCTCTCTCTCCATAAATCATCTTGTCAAGTTGCTTTGGTGAAGGCAACGTAAAAGGACCATGCAACAACCGGGTCAAGTACATACCAAATATAGTTATGGACTTAGACACTAATCCAACAGTTTCCCACTTGGATAAGTCTAATAACTATAAATGAAAGTACGACTTTAGGATCCGATTAGCAATCATAGCTCTCAAAAACCATTGTCGAACTCTGATCTTATAAGTGACCTGTCCTTTAGATAAGGGATCGTATAGTCCTCCGTTCTAAATATCGTGCAGACAATTACATGGAACATAGTTATACTTATTGTCCTGCAGTTTGTTTCTCGATCTCTAATTTGGTTGACATAGAAATTAATTGAACACATCAATTCAGTAGTGACCGGGCCCGACACTTAAGTCAAACCA